AAGGGGTGCTTCACCATGGTTGTTGGTTAGGAGAGCCCCCCCCCCCCCACATGATTGTAAAGCACTTTGGGTGTACAACAATACACAATAAAAGCGCTATATAAATGCTTAATTCATTAAACTGTTGCTTCTGGCTAAAATATGACTGAGTCCATAATCCATAATAACGCTTCCTCCAGTGGAAAAAGTCCATTCCTTGTTGTACTGTCACATCAAAATCCACTGACATATTTGTTTAGAGATATTTTGTACTGCTTTCGCTTATAAATGGTGCTTGATCTGTGTATATTTCTCTCCTGATTCAGATGACACAACTTTTTTTTTTTTACTGGAGAAAGAAATATTATGGACTCGTTTGAAATTAAAAAACGTCTTTATGATGGATTTGTTTCTTACAAACTTGCAGATTTTCACTTCACAAGACATTAACTGATGGACTGGAGTGGTGTGAATTATTTGTGACCGTGGACCACAAAACCAGTAATAAGGGTCAATTTTTTGAATTTGATATTTATTCATTATCTGAAAGCTGAATAAATAAGCTTTCCATTGATGTATGGTTTGTTAGGACGATATTTGGCCGAGATACAGCTATTTGAATATCTGGAATCTGAGGGTGTAAAAAAAAAATCTAAATATTGAGTAAAATCGCCTTTAAAGTTGTCCAAATGAAGTCCTTAGCAATGCATATTATTAATCATAATACATGTTTGATATATTTATGGTAGAAAACATTATCATTACTTCATATCCTAATGATTTTTGGCATAAAAGAAAAATCTATAATTTTGACCCATACAATGTATTTTTGGTTATTGCTACAAATATACCCCAGCGACTTAAGACTGGTTTTGTGGTCCAGGGTCACATTTGTGGATTATTGGGATGTTTTAATCAGCTGTTTGGACTCACTCTGACGGCACCCATTCACTGCAAAGGGTCCATTGGTGAGCAAGTGATGTAATGCTACATTTCTCCAAATCTGTTCTGATGAACTCTTAATTTTGGATGGCCTGAGGGTGAGTAAATTAGCAATTTCTTTTTATTTTTGGGTGGATTATTCCTTTAAAAGAAACATCTTGGCCTACATTGTCATGATGTCATGCTGATTATATGTACACAGGGATATTCAAGAAGCTGTGGATCATGTAAACCATGTAAACATCAGAATTATTGTAGACCTTAATATAGCCAAAATATAGACCTAAATAGGAATATGATGTGCATATAAATGTAGTCATGATTCTGTTTTTTTTTTTTAGCTAAAAAACTGTGCCTCCACAGCCCAAGCGGCCCCAGCAGAGAAGAAGAGTATCTTAATGAGGACGCCAACCCAGAGGAAGCAGGAAACCACACATCTCACACTAATATACAAGAACTACCCACCCCATCAGTTCCTGCTACCACCAGAGCCTCAGACCTCCCAGACCAGGACCTCCCGTTGTGCTTCGATCAGTCCCGACTTGCTGTGGCGGTGGCCAGTTCACGTGTGGCTCTCGCCGGGCAGCAGCAGGACACGGGTACACTGACACGAGTGCTACTCACCGGCCTGCCCAACCTCCACAGCCTCCCGCTAGCACAGACAGCAGCAAAAGAAGCTACACGTCAGCCATCCAGTGCTGAAACAGCCCAGAGTAAAAGTGAACATTTACTGGGACTCGGCTGCTACTCGTCGTCCTCGGATGAAGAGATATAGTTGAGTGAAATGCATTTAGACTTCAGTTTGTGAAATTATTAAATATCATAATGCTCATTAGCTGATGAAACATTCCTTATAGTTATTTTTTATTATTATTATTATTATTATGTTTTCCGTGAAATACATGGTTCTGCACATTTAAAGGGACAGTGCATCCAAAAATTTAAATTGTCATCATTTACTCACCCTCGTGTCGTTCCAAACCCATAAGACTTTAGATAATCTTCGAAAACACTAATGAGGATATTTTTAATGAAATCTGAAAGGTTTCTGTCCCTCCATTGAAAATCCAGGTAACCAAAACTGGAATCGACCGGCTTAATTCAAGTCTTTTTTATTGTTGAACAGATTTATTTGCACACACAAGAACCAGTGAGGTTTGTTTTAGCATGTGACGCACGAAAGTCCATGTTTATCATATGGGATTTGCTATATGTATGTTTATATGCAAATAAAAGCCTAAATAAATTTCATCAAATAAAAAAAAAGTGTCTCTTCAGAGAACTTGGATTAAATCTCTAAATTGATATGGATTGATTTTATGATGCCTTTATAACTTTTTAAAGATCTTTTTATGCTTTGGTTACCTGGTCTTAAATGGAAAGACAGAAACCTCTTAAAGGGGTCATATGATGTTGCTAAAAAGAACATTATTTCGTGTACTTGGTGTAATGAAATGTGTTTATGCGGTTTAATGTTAAAAAAACACATTATTTTCCACATACTGTATATTATTGTTTCTCCTCTATGCCCCGCCTTTCTGAAATGCATACATTTTTACAAAGCTCATCGGTCTGAAAAGCAAGGTGTGCTCTGATTGGCCAGCTATCCAATGTGTTGTGATTGGCTGAATACCTCAAGCGTGTGACGGAAATGTTACGCCCCTAACCGTATTGTGATGCCCTGTCCGGCCGGAGCAACGAGACAAAACCATTAAAACCCATTATAAACGAGGCATTTGTTGCATCCAGTGGGGACATAATTACAGATTATAATAACTTATACTGTCTTTTTTACACATTGCGTTGCATCGCGCCGCGTAAACATAAAACCATGTCTGCATTTGTGATCTGAGAAACGACAAACAACAAGCCCTACTCTACACTACTCGAAACTTGCGTGGCAAATTTTTTAAATATAAACAACGTACTTACAGTCTGTGAGTCAGAACAGCCGGCATTGTAGTCTACTCTCCCAGGATCAAGAAACAGTCCTCCATAAAATGTGCTGCACACAACGGAATATTTGGGTTGAACTGTTCTGGAACAGTGTTGTAAATACAACTTAACCACTGATTTCTAGTCGTGTCCTCTTTTGGAAGGCCAAACAAAGTAGTTTTGCTTTCACAACGAGAAACAGCGCCTTCACGACATGGCGGCAGCAACAATACTACAGCGAGAATAAAAGTTACACCTTCTTTCTTTGCGTTATGCAAATCTTCCCACATCGTGACATAGACATGTGGGGGCGTGTTAGAACGAGCCGTTTTAGGTAGGCGTGGTTGACTCTTAACTTTTATAAAGAATATCTCTTTGGATTTGAGACTTTAGTCTTTGCAACTTTACAGATCTTCTTTATGCACCAAGAGCTTGTAACACTCCAAAGAGAAAGGAAAACTTGAAATCGCATCATATGACCCCTTTAAGTTTCATTACAAATATCTTAGTTTGTGTTTTGAAGATGAACTTATGGGTTTGGAACGACATGAGGGTGAGTAAATGATGACAGAATTTTCATGTTTGGGCAAACTATCCCTTTAAAATGTGACATCTGATATTCAAAATATATCTGATGCATGAAAGTGAAACTTGAAAGTAAAACATTTTCGAGTGAACCTTGAAAGCTGTAAATCACCTGTGTTTGTGTTTATACTAATTGTCTTAACCTAGTTTATTCCAGTTATGAATGTGTTAAGCAGAGTTAAGAAGAGAACGGAAATGGTTGAGGTGTGGTTAGAGTAGAATTCTGAATAGGATATTAGTGATTACTTATCAAAAACAAAATATGAAGTGTTTACTGTTACATATACGTTTATCTGAGAAGTACATCTTCAGTATGTATAAAGTTTCAATTTCAACCACAAAGGGTTTTTTTTACAGGTTGATGCCACATTTTAAGGGACAAAAAACATTCTGTTCATAATTTATTCACTTGTACTTGACAAAATCAGTGATGTACTGGTGTTTTAAACATTACAGAAAACAAAACATGGATCTGAAGACCTGTTAAAGTAATGGTTCAACGGCTTTTGTTTTTTAATCAATAAAGCACCATGAAGTCAATTCAAGAATACTATTTGCTGAAAAATGTACTTTGATGAACTTAAAAGTGCACAGAACCATTTATGTGAGAGTATTGCTATACAAACCCCAAAGTTTCAGATTGACATGCGTTTTGATAATGCGTGCACCACAAGAGGCCTGATTAAAATGACTGCGAGACTTTTAAAAGTTCAGTGTGTGCAAAGATGCTGAGTCAGAGAGAGACAGAAAGATGTCTGCGTTCACCAAAAAATACATAATTTTTCCTACAGTTTGGTAACAGGCTTCATGCTGCGGCCCACGGTTCGACCCCAAAACCCCTCATACATCAGCAGTAAGAATTGCTTAGCAAGGCAACACTTCTGGGAAACTGAGCAAGAGAAAACCATTGTTACCAAGCAGCGGTGGTGATGTCTTACTCATTCAGAATATCTTTGTGTGAATTCTAGCACCATTAGCAATGTTTGCTCACGCTACAGACAGGGTTTCCCATACCTGCGAGGTGAAGTAAGGAAACTGATGCAACTACTACACATGTCAATTGTCAAATAAGCAAATATTTCTTCTGAGGAATTTACAACCAAAATTGTTTGGCTTTCTTCTCATCCGTGACCTTGCAATGCCTTGGAAAAGGCTTTACTTGCCGTTTACATTTCAAATGTACCACAATGCTGCAATGATTGGACATGACACGTGTACTGTATTTAAACACATATTTCAACATTATTGAAACATGCTTAGTATATCATACTCATTCAATTCAATAGATTAATTATAGTTGCTTTTAAAGCTTAATAAAATTTAGTCACACTTTATTTTACAGTCCTGTTCCTCATGTATGTACTTATCAAATGAATGACAAAAACTTGGTAATAATTAGGTACTGACCTTGAACCACCCTAACCTAACCTTAACTCATGTAGTAACCTTATTTTACCCAGTACAAATATGAAAATGGATCAATATAAACCATATAGCATTTGGAAATCCTCACCATCTTCAGTCAAGGTATGAACATTAAAATAGCAATCATAAATAAAAATAAAAAGCACTAAACAGTGTTATTTTAGTGTTATTGAGGTATAGATTTTTAGAATTATTTCAAATTAGTTGTGTAAATGTATTTTATTTCAGTTGTATTTTTAGTTACTCTAGTACACCAAGTTATACTGAAAATGGGGAATGTTGCCTTGGCAGAAATAATTTTTAATATTTTATTAACTTTCAGTTAAAGTTTAGATATTTAATTTTATATTTTTATAAAATAATTCTATTATAACAGTTTTGAGTTTAAAATGTTTCCCCAAATTCTATAACTAAGTGCATTTGTTTGAAGCAAACATTAAACTTCAACATTTATGGTAACTTATTTAATTACTGGCTTTTGCAGCATCATGTGTGCAATATGATCACAATATTCCATTTGATGATTTTTGTGGCATCTCCACTCAGATGACCTCCAAACTCCAGAAATGCAAGTTTCCGCCGTTGGGGAGCTTACATTGCAGCAGCTGAAACTCCTCGAATGCAAACAAGCGATGCATATCCAAGGACTTAAAACAGTGGGAAGAGGGAGCACTTTGGGAGGAAAGGAAAACAAAAGGGTACATGTTGTGTAATTTATTACAATACTAATGCTTTAACATTCTTCATCATGAACAGCCTGAGAAATGGGTATATGAGAGGGAGGCCAAGCTACTGACAAAAACGGCTGATTTTTCCAGGAAGGCCTAACGACGATGACATGCAGCAGGTAAGGGTGATGCCTTTTCCTCCCCCGCTTGGTTTCAACCACATTATTCATCTCACTGTCACAGCCCTAACCATTCTCATGCAGACCCCTGAGATTGCATACTGCAGGATCGAAAGCGCACGCACACGTTCGTTTGCACAGACAGACCGTTTCATGTGGCAGCTCCTGTTCTTTAGTGGTATGTGAGATTGGGTTTACTGAAACTCATTTTCTGCTGCATCACTGTTTACAAACACACACAAAAGTCTTTAATGGTTAGATAGCTTATGAGATTTTTATTTGATAGGTGTTGATGCATATTATTATTGAAAGTAAAGGGTTCAGGGTTTGGCACATTTTCAGTTGTATTAATACAGAGCCTCTAAGGGGGCATTTGCACGACACAGTTTTCAACTTCAACTGGAAAACCTTTAATGCATTCTGGTCACTTATTTACATAACACAAACTTTTGAAAATGGGTTTCAAAGTGCAAGTTTCTTAAAAATATAACATTATCGTCTCCCTGTAAATTATTTTGGGAAAACAGTGACGTCATGCACATGTGGATTATTACGTGTTGAGTCTATAGGTTTGTGCCTATAGACATAAAAAAAATAATTGCAAGTGAACATAATGTAGAAAAATGCCATTAGTCACCATTTCTAGTTTAACCGTTTCTAATATCTAATGAAAAAAAAAATTCCTTAAATTGTTAAATGGACAAATGTTAAATATTAAATGGATATAGTTATGCATAACAATAGCAGGATTAGCAACTGCTGTGTAAAATAGTTTAAATGGAGTATAGCATGTCACACCATCAGACTGTGAATGAGTGGTGGGTTTGACACAGAAGGCCGTGTCACAATCAAAGTAACCCTTTTGACAACTTGCTATAAAGATTCTATTCTCAGTCAACCTTTGTACATTATGTGATGGCTGGCAGGATGCTGGTGGTCTTTAAAAAGACATGTGGCCCTTCTGAAGAACTCTTTCTAGGTCACAAGCAATCCTGCGCCTCTTATGCAGATTACATGCCACACTGACCTATGAAAGAGCCTGAAACTTACAGGAAAGCATTAATGGACATATAGACGGATGTGATTGAATGCATGAAAAAAATGCACTAAAGGTTTTGACTTTTATCAAATGCTCAAACCAAACTTTTGCCAAGGAAAGGCACAGTTCTCTCCAAAATTAGTTATTCATTACTTCCTTACTTCTGTGGAACAAAAGATTTGTTTTAAAGAATCTTCACACAGGTCTTATTCGAACAGTGTTAGAGCTGGTTAGGCTACAAATATTATAAAGCACCATAAATGTAATCCATATTACTCCAATTTGAGATTGAATAAATCAGTCTGTTATATTGAAAAAATCCTGTGCATTCACTGGTCCTGTCATTAATGAATCAGACAAATGTTTATTAATAATTTTGTGAAAAAGACAAAAAAAAAATCACTTTTTTTGTTTAGTTTTTAAATGACATGAGGGTGAAGACAAATGTAAATGACAAAGTTGTAATTTTGGGCTGAAGGGTTTATTTAAGAAGTAAATCGTAAATTGTAAATCTTTTATTCGTATGCTAGTTACTAATAACTGCGAGAGCAGTTATTGCCTGCAAGCGCACAGAAGACTCAAGATGGTTTCCTGTCCATGATGTCATCATTATACCCCTTTCAGATATGACTTTATGCATGTTGGTTTGCTACAAATGCATGCGAATGCTAATACACTGACCAAAAAATTCATAATAGTCCACCTTATACATCAGTGTGCATGAGAAAAAGAAAGGATCAGAGACAGAGAATGAGTGAGATAGACAGACCTTGCCTGTGTGTGTGTGTGTGTGTGTGTGCGCGCGAGTGTGGGTGGGAAGTCTTAACCACACTGCAGGACCTTTATAAAAACTGATGTTCAGCAACAACCTTCTCAAGATACACTCTTTCGTTGCTCACACATTCTCACACTCCTCTGAGCTCTGCAGACATGAGTGGTAACTTTGGCCACTCACCCCAGCCAGTGTTCATGGTGGATTCTGGCAGAGGTCACCCTAAACAACATCGGCATTACCACCAGCAGATGCCCAGACCACCGGTGCCCTGTTGGACCTTCCCCCCTGCCCGAGCTGAGATGAAGAAAAGGGGCTGGGGGAGAATGAATAGTACGATAGCCTGGGGACTGACACTGATACTTCTGCTGGTTTTTGCAGCCCTGGGACTGGGAGCCTATCAGATCCTGAGGTTACAGACTGAAATGCAGCGGCTGACACAGGTAAGAGCGACTTAACAGTGTATTATATATATATATATATATATATATATATATATATATATACAGAGACACAAAATGTATTTTGATGCATTCAAATCATCAAAAGTATGTATTTTTATATCTAAAATACATCTGAT